CCTGCTGAATACAACTAAAATCCCATTAATTATGTGTAAAGAAATGTAAGACTCTGAAATGTGGTAAGAAGGCAGAATGTTCAGAGACCTCAGGACCTGAGGAACAACACAGTGGTGAATTCCTTGGGTTTACTATTTGTCTCATATATCCCAGACACAGAGCTAAGAAGCCAGCAACACAGAAACACCTATGGGTACAGAGAAAGAATTCCAACAAAAGCCAAAGGGCCAGGAAAGGGCAGCCTAACAAAACAAAACTTTTAGATAGTAACAGCTCTACTACAGCTAAACACCAAAGAAACATACATGGCATACTCTCTACTCATGCCAGCAAGGACCAAGCAGGGAGCTTAGACTTACACCCTTATGAGGAAGTAAGGAGGTACCCCAACACCCCTAGCAGGGTAGGGTCAGAGAAGGCCAAGAAGGTAGCTGGGACTTTTATCCCCTCCAGGCAGTAACAAGCACCTCCTCCTCCGCCCTGTGGTGTCTGCAGAGACCAAGAAGGGAAGCCTGGACTTTCACCCCAACCCACAGTAATGAGGTGCTCTTCCACCTCCCTTCTGGGGACGACGTCAGAGGAGGCTGAGGAGAGTTAAGACTTTTACCATCTCCCACCAGTAATGAGGTCACCCCAATGCAGTGACTATGGAGACCACATAAGGAGCCAAAACTGCCACCTGTACTCAGGTGACCCTCAGGTGTCAACAAAGGCTAAGTGGAAACTTAATTCCTACCTCCCCTGGCAGTAAGGAGATGGTGTTCTCCATTTTCCCTGCCACAGCAGTGTTAGAGAAAGCCAGTAAAAAGTTTAAATAAGATCCAGAGTCTTGTAACATAATGTGAATATGTCCAGCTTCAAGTGAAAATCACTAATCATACCAAGAACCAGGAAAATTTCAAACTGAATGAAAAAGATAATAGATTCCAACACTGAGATGATAGAAACATTAGAATGATCTGAGCAAAACAGAGAAGGCATGATAAAAATGCTTCAATGAAAAATTACAAACATGCCTGAAATAAAACGACAAAAAAACATGAAGACTCAGTAAACAAAAAGAAAGTTTTGGTAAACAAATGAAATGTAAAAAACCAAATGGAAATATTAAAACTGTAAAATAGGATAAATGAAATAAAAAAACTCAGTTGGATGGGTTCAACAGCAGAATGGAGGGTCAAAGGAAAGAATCAGTGAACTGGAAGATATAACACTACAATTATGCAATCTGAACAACAGAAAGGAAACAGATTGAAAAAAATAAATGAACAGAGAGCCTCAGGAACCAGTGGAACTACAACAAAAAATTTAACATTCATGTCCTCAGAGCAACGGAAGCAGAAGAGCACAGGGCTGAAGAAGTACTAAAGAAATGGTGAAAGCTCCCCCAATTTGGCAAGAAACCTAAACCTATAGATTCAAAAACTTCAAACAGGACAAACCCAAAGGAATCTATACCAAGCAACATCATAATTAGACTTCTGAAAACTAAAGACAAAGAAAAAAATCTTGAAGGCAGCCAGAGAAAAACAACCTTATCTGTAGGGGAAAAACAATATGAATAACCACAAATTTCTCATCACAAACCAGTAGAAAGTGGCATGGTATTTTTCAAGTGCTGAAAGAAAAGAACTGTCAATCCAGAATCCTATATCCAGCGAAAATATCCTTTGGGAATGAAGGAGAAACAAAGACATTTTCAGATGACAGAGAACTAAGACACTCTGTTGCCAGCAGACCCTCCCCTAAGAGAACCATTAATGAAAATTCTCTAAATGGAAAGGAAATGATAATAGAAGGAACCCTGGAATATCAGGAAGGAAAAAAAGATTATGGTTTAATAAAAGGGGGGCAAATATAATAGGCTTTCCTTCTCAAGTTTTCTAAATCATGTTTGGCAGTTAACTGGGGGAGCAGGCAAATAAAAGGTCATAAAAAGAGCTATGGTTTTTATATGTTACTCAAACTGGTAAAGTAGTAACACCAGAAGACTATGATAAATTAAGTTTATATACTGAAATACCTAGAGCAACCACTGAAAAAGATAATTCAAACACATCTCAAATTAAAATGGAAATGTAAAAAGATGCTCAAGTAACCCACAGGAAAGCAAGATAAAGAAAACAGAAAAACAAAAGCAAGGAGAACAAACAGAAAACAAAAAATAAAGTGGCAGATGTAAGCCCCAATAGATCAATAATTATAGTAAATGTAAATGGTCTAAATAGACCAATTAAAAGACAGAAAATTGGCAGTGTGGATTTAAAAACATGACCCAACTATATGCTATCAACAAGAAACTCACTTCAAATATAACAATATAAGCAGGTTGAAAGGAAAAGGATGGAAAAAAAAATCATGCAAACATTAGTCAGAGGAAAGGAGTGACTATATTAATATCAGATCAAGTAGATTTCAGAGAAAATCACCACACTGCGAGTGGCCTTATGTAACGATAAAGGGCCTATCCCCCAAGAAGAATTAGCAATTCTAAACGTGTATCTATCAAACAACAAAACTGCAAAATATTTTAAGCAAAAACAATTCCATCCAAAAACTGATGGAACTGAAAGGACAACAGAGAAGTCTACAATTACAGCTGAAGACGTCAATACCCCTCTCTCAAAAATTGATAGAACCAGACAAAAGTCCACAAACCATCAATCTAATAGATATTAGACAAATATATTGGATCTAACTATTTATACATCATCTACACAGTAAGAGCAGAATACAAAACTCTTGCCCAATGCCCAAGGGACAAATACTAGGATAGATCATATCCTGGGCCATAAAACCAAACATCCACAAATTTAAAAGAACTGAAATTATGCAGAATGTACTCTTCAACCACAATGGAATGACACTAAAAATCAATAACTGAAAGACAACAGGAAAATGTGCAAACACTTGGAAAATTCTGAATGATCCATGGGTCAAAGAGGAAGTCTGAAGGGAAATTTCAAAATGCACTGAGCTAGTGAAAATAAAATTTGTTGCTGGACACAGCTAAAGCAGGGCCAAGAGGGAGAGTTACAGCACTAAATGCATACATCAGAAGAAAAAAGTCCCAATTCAATAATCTAAGCTTCTACCCTAAGAACCAAGAGAAAAAGAGTAAAATAAACCCAAAGAAAAAGCAGCACAGAAATACTAAAGAGCAGAAATCAGTGAAACTGAAAACAGAAAAATGGAGGAAAAATATTTTAAAGCTGTTTCTTTGACAAGA